AATATAATAAATAAACTAAATAAATGAACGATAATAACTCGGAAATTAAATACCGTATATGGCGGGCGCTCTTACGAAATTGCAAAACGCTAACCTCAAATAAACAACAACAACAACAACAACAAATAAATAAATAAATAAATAAATAACAACCACAAATAACGACAGATGCCTAGATGTGATTCATGTCGACTTCTCACAGATGTAATATGATGATACATATTTCCCAGCATCATTTCTCTGATAACTGGTCGTTGCATACATGTAGATTTCTAAATCATTATTAGTAGGTTCTCCAGGAAGCCACGGGATAGGTGCACACATGTCTACCTGTCTTCCCGTAGCAGCCCACACCCACGGCGTGTCCGCTGCGATGTGGTTGCCACCGGTCCACCAGTTTCGGGGATGTTGACGCGTCAAGAAATTGATTTCTCCCTGTGATTCCAGACTGACGTGGTCGGCTCCCATGCTGATGCAGTGGTCACGTGCCTCTAGCCAAGTCTTCGTGTTGAGTGTCTCAATGTAGTAACAATTTCCACGGAATTCTATGAAATCTGCAGGGCATTCTCCGCTGTTTACTGAAACATGGTTACCGATGTTAGTGATTGCTCAGGGAGTAAGTGTACGGGAGTGATTGTCCCCGGATGGCGGTAATTGATGGGGAGGAATTCTCCGGGGTGTAATTGTCTGGGTGTAATTGTCCGGGTTTAATTTTCCGGGTCTAATTATCCGGGTCTAATTGCCCGGGTCTAATTATCCGGGTCTAATTGGCTGGGTCTAATTGTCCGGAGGTAACCGATACCGTTATTTAGAATCAAAGCAGCAAAAATGGCAAATAAATATAAAATAAAATAAAAACTACAAACGCAGTTTAATAGTTTATAATTTATAGAGATGAAATCAAACAATTTAATTCCTTCCTTTAATTCCTTAAAACCTTTTAATTCATGAGACCGTTCACTAACACACCTAAAAATAATTACAGCGCAATTAAAATATGATTACTAACCTTTCGTATAGAAGTCGTAGTTGTTCTCGGTGACAACTGCAGCGCCGACGTCAGTTTCTGCGTAGGCGCTCAACTCACAGTGTTTTTGGGTTGCCGCGGTGTTCTCTATGTTATAACCGGTGCAGCCCGGGGTGCGGACGCAAAAGAATGCACACTGAGACATCCTGCTGACCATCATCGTCTGAAGAAGACAACCTCTCACAGCTTGTCCCTTTAATTGGAGTTGATATCTTGCCGCGTTTGTACAGCTTGTCGTGCATAATAAAATAATAAACGCGACGCAAGTAACGTGAGATTTTAACTCACTGATGATCTTTAAATCACGCAGTAAGAGCATACTCCTGAAGCTACCGGTCATTGTGCGCATATTACAAATGTTGACGCCTGTTTTTGTTGATTTTCCTGTGATAGTATGGATGAGCTCGTTAGATATCCGTCAGGAGAGAGGCAGAGATGACCGCCTGTGAAATGTCAGCAACAAGCGGTCCTACACTGTGCTGCTGATCCAACTCTCTGTGATCATGTGCGCATGCGTGGGGTTTATTGATCGAACTCTGCGTGATCATGTGCGCATGCGTGGAGTTGATTGATATACCCTCTACACAACAGCTTTCCCACGATGTCATTATTGTAACAATGGACAAAATCACAGAATTAGACACACCGATTTTACACATATAGACAAGGACAGAACTAACAAATATAGCATCCGCCATAAATCTATGATTAATTCCCAGATGCTCAGACTTAACGACGTAAATCTTAGATGAAATCATGGAATACGAACTGTGCCTTATGTTTATACTGAATGAGCGAGACACTATAGAAGGCACACAGCAGTAGCCTTCCCCCTCTTGTTCTACTTGTTCAATTTGCACTATTTCGTCTATGGAACAGGTCTTCTCATCTATTGCGGTAATGTACAGCACATTGGAGTGCACGAACGCACGCACGCGCGTGTACGTGCTCACACACGCACGCACGCACGCACGCACGCACGTGTACGTGCACACGCACGCACGCACGTACGTGTACGTTCATACGCTCGCACGCACGCACGCACGTGTACGTGCACACGCACGCACGCACACACGTGTACATGCACACGCACGCTCGCACGCACGTGTACGTGCACACGCAGGCACGCACGCACGCACGTGTACGTGCACACGTACCCACGCACGAACGTGTACGTGCACACGAACGCACGCACGAACGTGTACGTGCACACGCACGCACGCAACCACGCGAACGTGCACACGCGAATACTGTAGCATTACAACGACACAACTAACTACTACTCAATTTCAATAAGCTTTACATATTGGACTCACGGGAGATAATACACATGAAAAACATTATTATTATTATACGGTGCTTATACATTGATTGGGTGGTTGTTTTTATATTAAATAAACATGCGATTCATCGGTAACTCGAAGCGTCCAATCATGGCAGATATGATCACGGAAACGCGACAATTATAGGTGATCATAAAGTACATTGACTAGAAATAAGTTAAGCACAAAAAGAACACGAATGTTGCTATTAGGTATATAAGGATTGCGATAAAGGGAGATGCCGATACGAAAAAAAAACACGAGTACATGCAATTAAAGTACTACAATAATAACCGGATAATAAGATATTTTAACCAAGTAAACGTAAGAGGTACGGAGCATTTAATTGCAACAATACCAAGGGATTTTAACTGGCAAACCCACAAACAGCATTAATTTAAATACTGCAATAATATGATATTTTAGCTGGCAAAACTACATCTAAGTTAAGTACTATGGGGGTTTACCTTTAAAGGCTCACGATGCTCATCCAAACGCTAATTTCTCCAGTACTAGACTAGCAAATACTTCGTGTTATGGATAATCACACTACCTTATGACAAAATAAACTCTAGTTCCTCCCATTTCACTGCGCGTTGTCTTATAAAAGGTATTTTGAAAATACCTCCAATGTTGTTGAAATTCTCCGATGTTGTTGACAGTTTCCCCAATCCCCAAGCAACTGCAGCGGTAAGGGCGCAGCAAAGATAAAAACATGTGAC